GATTCATCTGTTGAATATACTCAAAGTGGTGAAGGGTATCATATAGTCGGCCCCGTCCGACTTTACTACTTTCCTTACTGGTTTTTATATATATTTAATACTCGCTGCTTTTCATTCGCTTTGGTTAAGGTGTTCCCTATTTTAATCGCATTTTTCCCCGAAATTCATGGTGTAATTAATGCAAGGTTACAACAAGTGTTGTTGTCCAACAATCACTTGTAAATTTGTTGGTGGAAAATGATGAACGCGTCATTCGTAATGTAAATAATGGGAAAACATGACACACACACACAACGACGCACTTCCTCCCACCTTGCCCCCAACAAATAATAATAAATATAGTAATATGAATATTAATTAAAAAAAATTCGAATTTCAAATTAAGTTCTCAAACCATTAAACCTTTCCCCTACACTCTCTATCATGAGTAATACTGAATAGTACAATAACATCCATAAGTCGTAAAATAACGAAGTAGATTCTAAAATATTTTTACAAAAATGTTGCGACAATGGGTTGCAGTGAACCATGGAAGCCAGAATTTCTGAACTGTGATGTTATATTAGGTCACGAAAAGTAATTTTCATATCCGCATATTAATAGGTTATGTGGAAAACCTTAACCGAGGTAATCGATAAACCGAAACTGAAACTTACACAAGGTGTACTTAATAAGTGTTCTGTGCCACGGAGCAGTAAATTCCACCACCAGTTTATTTTTTCCTCCAAATGCTACTACTGTCGTATTCAAACCCTATTAAGCTAGAAGAAATCAATCAAAAGCCTTGAAAAACAGGCCGGTTTCATACTTAATTTAACTAAGGAAAATTTGGCTTTTCTGCCTCAGACCTTTTAGACCTTTCTCTCTCCCTAGCTCATCACGATTTCGACGATAACAACCAAGCATTTGATTAGACCGATGGATACGGTATGATATTCTCCTCCTTATAAAGAAGGTTCACTGGTGTCATAAGGAGACATCCTCTTGAAGTTTTCAAAATGGCATTCTCGCAACATTGAATATTCATCCACTGCGTATCACTTACATTCGCTACCTTGGACCTTGTTCCTACTTGGGACGGTATGATCTTCTCCTTATGAAGATGGTTCACTGGTGTCATGAGGAGACACACTGTTGCATTTTTCAGAACAGCATTCGCTCAAGTTCGAATATTTTCCCACTGCGTATGATTTACATTCGCAAATTACACTGCGCCGCATTGTTTGCCACGACCTCCTTTTCAGCTGCCCAAGTCCTGCCGGCCAGCAGCTTAAGGACTTTGTTCTTACCTCTCGGGAACTTAATTTCAGCCGCCCAATGGTTGTGGAATTTCAGAAAGGTACCGGTTAAACAGTTCCGGACAATTCACTCCACCTTGGGGAACTCTCCGCTTAATTCTATGATTTACTGGTGTCATGAGGAGACAGTCTGTTGCAGTTTTCAAGACGTCATTGGAGCAAGTCTGAACTTCATTTCAGCCTCCCAATGGGTTTGAAATTTCAGAATGATAAAGGTTAAACAGTTCCGGAGAATTAACTTCACATTGGGGAATTTCCTGCTTAATTCTACGACTCATTGAGTCTGGATTCCAAATATGTATTGTTGACAGTATCTCAACTACCCGTGGATCTGAAAGGGTAATGGACACTTATCTGAAGCGGTGATAAGAACTTCTCGGATATCTTGCCAATCAGTTTTTTCATGGTTCGGCGTTCAGAAATGATGAAATCGGAAATGCCTTCCAGCTACCCGAGGATGTGAGGGGGATATGGGCAGCTTTCTGAAGCGGTGATTGGAAGCCACTTTGATTGCTATCAGTTTTTTTCATGATTCTGCGTTCAGAGGTAATGAAATGTGGTGATCTATTTAGTGAAATTTTTCTCAGCTACCACAGGATCTGAGGGAGGGTGGGCAGTTCTCTGAAGCGGTGGTTGAAAAACACTCTCTGATACCTTGCCAATAAAATTTATCATGGCGTTTAGAGGTAGTGAAATAGGCTGGTGTATTTAGTTACTATTTTCCAGAAATTCCTCCGAGCTATCTGGGGATCTGAAGGGGAGTTGAGCAGCTCTCTAAAGCGATGATTGGAACCTCTCTTATATTTTGCCAATCAGCTTTTTCATGATTCGGCGTTCAGAGGTGATCAAATCGGGTGATTTATTTAGTGACAATTTTCCGAAAATTTCGGTCGGCAAGTTCTCTGATACCTTGCCAATCAGCTTTCTCGTGATTTAAGAAAGTTCGGTATCCAGCGGTAATGAAATCTGGTGGTATATAGTCACTAAGACTATTTTCTGGAAATTCCTCTCAGCTACCCGATGATCTGAGGAGGATATGGACAGCTCTCCCTCTCTCTCGCTGCGTTTAAACGTAATAAAATCGGGTGGTCTATTTACAGAAACCGGTCCAAAGACTACGCAATTTATCAGACCCGGTGACACTTTAGTAATGTCTGACGAGCTATGTTAACATCCGCTTATACTCAAAGTTGAGCTATTAATTGCATCGGCCACCGAGGTCACCGGAATGAGATAACTCATAATGGGCATTGAAATCACCTTAGTGACAGGCGGTTATTACCTTCCAAAAAGAATACGTTAAGCACCTCAATCTCTACAGTTCCACAATTGACTGCTACCCTTATCAATTGCATGTATAGGTCGCTAGAGTCCAACTCTTCGCTTCTGGTACGATTCTTCCGCACAACGTTTTAAGCTACATTTCTCGGTCAGCTTTGTTCCCCTGATCTCACCTCAGTTGAACTGCATGAACGATGTATTTTCTAGCCTCGGAACAGCAATGTTTGGTATTTAGTGCTGCGTGTTTTGCTGTAGAGGAGTGTATCGTATTCCTACCACGACAATCCATGAGACCCGCTATAAGACGTGCTTGCGCAGCATGACGTGCTAGTTCTCCTAGATTCGGTTTAGTCAAGAGGAACCTCGAACATGCACCCATTCCACTCTTCCATCGCATCTCTCCGAGACGGATCTGTGGTAGATTCGATTCTGACATACACTACAAAACCAAGGGCCGGGCTTTTTTCTCTATCCCAGCACGGAACAAAAGTGTACTTAACAGGCGTTCTGGGATACATATAATGCCGCAACCGTAACAAAAATGAACTCCACATACTTGTATTTGTTGAGGTGGCAGACTCTGGTCGAAGTTTTCTTTAGAACCAGCTATATTCCCATTTGGTCATTGGAATCGTAGGCACCTCTATTGTGCAAAATAAGTAAGTTCAATTGATGATCTTGGCGCCCAACTTCACGTCAACAGATCCTCCCTATGAGCGGACATTTAAAGCAGCTGTAATCGTTCGGCATCTTTATAGATATCGTGAGCTGTGGCATGGTAAATTTTTGGTAGTACGTTTTGACACACGATGAGAACGAAATTACAGCCAATTCGCGTGTATCGTAAAAAGTTTGAATTCAAAATACCATATTACAGTCAATTTGTACCCAAAATCCCCAATCCGAATATGTGGAGGTACCGTTATATGAAGACTATACTAATAATACAGAATAAAAGCCAGTATTGTTATATGGGGTCTATCGTAAAAAGTTTGAATTCAAATTCGGGTGAAAAACGCCAAAAAGCCAATTCGGTTTAAAAATGTACCAAAAATTCCTAAAATTCGAAATATGTGGAGGTACCGTCTTTTGAAGGCTATTCAAAAGAAAATTGACCAATGTTGATATTGTTCTCGTAGGAAGATGTGTCACTCAAAACACAACATACCAAATTTCAGCCAATTCGGTTGGAAAACGTGTTAGAAATGCCCAAAATACTGAAATTTTGGAGGTACCGTTATATGGGACCTATACCAAAATTGTAGACCGATATATCCAATATATATATATACAATTTTCTATATCAAACATCCTTTGAGTAGTAACAATGTATGTGCAAAATTTCAAATCTCTATATTCAATATTGCGAAATCTATCGTAATTTCGACTAACAGACGGACGGAAATGGTAATTTTTTTATTCTGCTCCATGTAAACATACAGACCTATTAACAAATCAAAGTAATTCTAAAATTTTAACTTCAATCGACCCTAAATTCTGAAATTTTTTCAATCTGAATTGATCACCATTATTGTTCGATGCACGTTCTCTCACGTTTCCCTCTCTCTCTTTAGGAGGATTTTTAATATTGAAAAATAAATCTATAAATATGTATTTCTTATATGTATGTGATAATTTTTTACTCTCACTGTATATGATTCAATAAATTTATTTTCTATTATTTTTTTATAGATTAAAAATTCAAAAATATGTCAAAATCGCTTTTATTATTATTTTGTTTAGTGGCGGCGGTGTTGTAGCACCTACTCCACCGCAGTACTCTCACTCATTCACTCCCTCTCTCCCACTTTGTTATTCCTTTGCTCTCTCTCTCTCAATGTGATATCACACAGTTGCGAGTGAAGACCGTTATCTGTGTTGGCATTTGTTTTCATTTCGTATGACAGAGGTTGGCGGGCAGAGCAAAGCAGGTGGCATTTGTTGTTGATTTTGTTGTTATTGTTTGTGAGGAAAAGAAGAGTAAAATAAGCAGAGTCGTTTGTATTACTATTGGTGTTGTTGTTTTGATTTTTTGCGTTTGGTTCTTTCTGTAAGTGTTGATGGCTGTCTAGCTGGCTGGCTGCTTGGTTTTGTTGAATGCTTGCTTGAACAGGCGGCATCGGCACGCTGGCTATTCGAAGAGCGCCGACCCAACAAGCATTTCAGTCGGTGTTTTTCTTTGGTTGTGCGGACAGGCAAAAAATATTCATTCGAAAACCGAAAATTTTGAAAACAAAACAAAAAAATAAATACTAAAAATGCTGGAGCATTAAATTGTATGAAAGAAAAAAAAATAACGAAACACACAAAATAAAACAACAATTAAATTTTGTTTAAGAAAAAGTGCATATTTTACATAAAAATAAAATAGAGAATTTTAAAAGAATAAAAGCGGAAACTTATATTGCCTACTAACCAACCATGGCCGCGGTATTATTTATTGTGACTATACCCACCGAGGCCGAGGAACAGCGTCTGAAACAGGAAATATTAGCCCATAAATATGATGCGAAATCGGAAAAGGCCGAAACAGCCACCCTTGCTGGTGGTATTTCTCTGAAAAGTGCCACAGGAGTTGTGGCACCCAGTCGGACACCGTCAACGGCTGTCTTGACACAAACACCCACTGGTACCAGGAAAACAAATGGCAGCAGTGAAACGGCCACAGGGGATAGTGCAAGTGTTTCCATTGCCCTGGAACAACAACAGACGATGTCCATGAAATCCTATAATAATACCAATGCCACTGCCAGCGATGATCCCAACTCAACCCCAAATCAATTTGGTACATTTCCCAAACGTCGGCGAAAATCGGAATATCTTATCAAGACCCATGGGGAGGGTAGTTCTCTGAAATCCAATGGCATTGGTGGTAGTTTGAAAAGTATTAATAAAATACACACTCCAGTAAGTCCGGAGACGAGAATGAATCCCCTGAAACAGATCTAATGTGTTTCTTATTCTTCCTCTATTCGTTCTTATAGAGTTTCCTCAAAGAAAGACTTGCCTCTGGCCAGGATAGTTCAACGACAACAAAATCAAAATCCAGCAAAAAGAAAGAACCCTCCGCAGATACGGCCTTGACCTATGACACATGCATGGAAACGGTGTTGAGGGTCATACTCAAACGTTGTCAAATATCCAATGCCATGTGGGCAAAGGATGAAAATGGTCGCATGTATCAGGTAAGTCAAAAAATTAACACACACAAGGCCACCCTCACTCCCAAATTACAATAATGAATGTGAATTATTATTAGGAAGTAAAATCTTCGTTAAGTTCGGTTAAGACGAAGTTTTGATACCCTCCATCAAAGATGGGCATTCAAAAAAAAACCTAATATCAATCAACATTTTTCGTCAGTGGGTTAGGTTGGAAAATGGAAAGACCTTCGGTAAACCGAAAATGAATCGGGATTTTTATATATTGAAGCTATGACAAAACAATTGCAAAGAAGTTTAGTACCCATCAGCGACCTGGAAAATGAAATTTTAGTATCCCTATTGTAAAAAGTTTCTAGTTTCTTTATATAGGTGGTCTATGCATTTTTTAAAAAAATATTAAACCTCTAAAAAGGCGTGGATTTTGAACTATTTTTTCAATGACCAACTGAGGCTTGGTTTTTTTAAAGAATAATTTTTCAATGAACAACAAAGGCGTGGATTTTCTAAAGAATGTTTTTTCAATGGTCAACTGGGGCGTGGAGTTTTTAAAGTATTTTTTCAATGGTCAACTGAGGCGTAGTTTTTTAAGAATATTTTTTCAACCGTCAACAAGGCGTGAATTTGTTAAAGAATATTTTTTCAACCGTCAACAAGGAGTGAATTTGTTAAAGAATATTTTTTTAACCGTCAACAAGGAGTGAATTTGTTAAAGAATATTTTTTTAACCGTCAACAAGGCGTGAATTTGTTATATAGGCTATAAGAACTTATATAGGCTTCTAATGAACTCCAGGCCACCGATGCGGATTCACTACTTCCGAAACGGAACTTTATAAATATCCCTACTACTTCAACACCAATGTTGACTCCTCTAGAGCACTTGATCTTTCTAAAGCGATGCAGAACTTAATAGAGCTATTCACCTCTTATACGGACCAAGCTTAAGCAACCTCTAATGAGCTCCTAGCACCCGAAACGCACCTTTGTAAAGTTTCTTTCCCTCATTATATACATTGACCATTGCAATAAACCTCATTAGCGATGCGGAACTCTATAAAGTTACTCAATCTCCATAAAAGATATCTAATGAGCTCCTTGCCACCGAAATCGCTCTCTTTAGAGTTGTTTCTACCGATAGGAACCTCTATAGGGTTCCTAATCATATTTACTGGCCACTACAAAACATCTCATTACCGATACGGAACTCTAAAAATATACTCAACCACAACGTGGGCTTGTAATGAGTTCCTCACCACCGACGTGAGTCTATTACCTCAGAAACGGATGTCTATAAACATTCCTATAACCTTATCACCAATATATGGAGCAATATTGGTGTATGACTGACAAATACATGGCTTTCGACTTTATTATCCTTATCATATATATACTCACCACGATAAAGAGCCAGGCACATATACGGACATATATAGATTTCCAGCTAACCTACACGAACCCCTATAAAGCACCTTATTACCGATATGGACCTCTATTAAGCTCCTCAACCCCCAAATATGGACTTCTAATGAGTTTCTCACCATCATTGCGAATGTATTACCTCTAAAGCGGACCTCCAGAAATATCTCTACCACCCCCAAACCGATAATGGCCGGCATAGAAAATTTGACCAAATATGGACTTCTTATAAGCTCCTGATAATCTTAGCAAAGTTATATTAAATATAACGTTGACGCAAGAGAGCAATGTGCATTTGGTATGTGGTACTCCGGGACCATCCTTCGTCCAATGCAGTGAAAAAACTTCAGTTACAAATTCAAAGGCGAGCGATTATAGCCCAGTTAAGAAAAGGCTAGTCCAACACCTCTAATTTCTTTCAGTCAAATATTTTGAGGTTTTCCAAACAAAATATCGACTCACTGTACCTGGTGGAGGGTGTAACGATTGAAAATTTAATTAAATGGGCAAGGGGTCATTATTATGGACTTTCACTAACTAAATTACCTAATTACGTTTATATTCGTTTGCGGGTTTTTCAGTTCGTTTCTTCTATTTTTACTTAATCCGCATACTAAAAATAAAAAATCATTTACTAATGTGGTTGTGGTTATGTTGAGATTATTACCGTGCTTTGCAACAATCGAACCAAAACAAAACTGCACATACAAACCAGCAATAGTTTATTTTTGCGTGCACTGTGTTTTTCTTTTATTATATCCTCCTCCCATAATTTTCTTGTCTACCCCTTTCTACCCACATAATGATGTCATCCTCGTAAATGTCGTCATTTGCACAAAAATTCTGCAAAAAAAAATGCTCTCATGCTGAATTGCTTTTCAGGGTCATCATCAACAAGAAGCGCGAAAAAGCAATTTTCCCACCAAAAAATCGAAACTAAAAAGAAAAGTCAGAAACAAAAATGCGACAACAAATCAAGTGTGACAGGCGACTAGTACATATTTTCAAATTCCATAGCTATTTTATTGGTATGTTAATAGTACTTGTTGGCATGTTTCCGAAGCGCCAAATACGCATTTTGGCCAAAGAGAATTTTCACACATTTAAATATTGTGGCGTTCAATTTAAAAACATTTTATTTTTTAAATCAAAGCAAGGCTTTTGTGAAGGAAGTATTACTCAAAAAAATTACCCCTTCCTGTTTATAACGACATTTTTTACCCTATGTAACAGAACTACTCAACACCAATATTTTGACAGCTATAGAGCTCTTGATCGCAATGCAGACCTCAATAGCTAACTAACCAACTATATGGATCACATTCGCACATATAAGAATCTCTATAAAACGGATCATAATCGATACAGGGCTCCTAACCCAATATATATACCTATATATTGCTCCTCTCCACATATATGAATATCTATAAAGCGTCTCATAATCGATGCAGAGCTTCTAACTACTTATACGGACCTATAAAGATCTCCTCCGCACCCATATGAACCTATATAAAGTATCTCAGAAGCGATGCACTTATACGGACCTATATAGATCTACCCCACATCTATGAAGTACCTTAATACTCCTCCCATAACTAAGTTTTATTTGCTAGAGTTATATTGTGTTATAGAAATCAGCTCCAATTTTTTTATTTTGTTTAATGGGAAGCTACTTAACTCCAATAAGGACCTCTATGAAGTCCCTCGTCATCGAAACTAACCTCTATAGAGCATTGCACCGCTTATACGGATCTGCAGATATACCAACCGCGATAAAGAGTCACACAACAACATATATCTCACCCATAATGAATCCCATATAGCACCTTATTACCGATATAGCACATTATTACCGATATGGACCTCTATATTAAGCTCCTCAACCTACAATATGAATTTCTAATGAGCTTCTCACCATAATTGCGAACATATTACCTCCAAAACGGACCTCTAGAAATATCTCTACTACCCCCAAACCAATAATGCCGCCCATTATTGACAACATACATTGACCTCTATATAGCGCTTATAACCTCGCCACCGAAACGGACCTCTACAGAGCTTTTCGCCGTTGATTAGAATCTTTATAGAGTTTCTCACTGCCGATATGAACCTTAAGGGAGCTTTCCTATCATATATATACTAAAAACTACAATAAGGGCTATAAAGCTGCTCACCCTCCAATATGGACTTCTAATAAGCTTTTCGCAATATTTGCAAAGCTATTAACTCCAAAAATCGAAGTATTCCTATCAACTATAGAGCTTTTGATCATATACCTTGACCTCTATAAGACGTCTCCTAACCGACACAGATCTCCAAAGAGCTCTTCACCTCTTGTATGGATCCATATAGATTTTCTCCTCACCAATAAGAACCTCAATAAAATAACTTATTACGGACTCATCCCAATAAAGGACATCTAATGAATTCCTAGCCACCGAAACGGAACTCTATAGAATTTCTAATATCAGACATGAGTATCTATAGAGTTTCTCGCCGCCGATATGAACCTCTATAGAGCATCTCATCTCTCATCCGACCACTACAAAGCACCACCTTACCGATATGGACTATGGACAATGAGCGACTCACCATTATTGCGTACCTCTTACCTCCAAAACGGACCTCTATTGAGATCTCTTAACCGCCTCATAAATTTAGTCTTTAAAGCGCCTGAGAACAGGTACAGATCTCAATAGAACTCTTCACCACTTATGAACGAATTCCTCTTTACCTAGTTTAACCTCTATTAAACCCTTTATAACCGATACGGACCTCTATAAAGTTACTCACATCCAATTAAGGATCTCAAATCTAAGCAAGAATGTTGTAACGGAAATAACGACATTTATTGCACCCCCAGTATGTGGCTAATGATACGACAAAAATGTGCCTTATCGAAAAATTGATTTTAGACCCCATGTTTCTTTGGACCAAATCCGTTTTAAACAATTTGGAGTCAATTTACAAAGTCCGCCCGTCTGTATATCTGTCTGACAGGATTGTGCACACGATAATTCTCGAAGCGAATAACCGGTTTCATCCAAACTTTGAACATCGTAATATTTTTTCTCAACTTAGTTCAAGTTCGAAGATGGGAAATATCGGCCCAGTCCTTCTGGTAAAAAATTAAAATCATTCGAAACGACTGTTCGATTTGAACCAAACTAGATCAAATTCAAAGATGGGATCCATTAGTCCACTCCCTTGGTACCTCCCCTACAAACGGTCAACATTTTCAATATTCATAAATCGAATATCTAGCGAATGGAATGTCCGATTTGAAGCAAACTTTGTCCAACCTATTATCTTTACCAAGCCTTGACAAAGTCCTCCGAAGATGGGACCCATTGGATTTTTAGGGACTTTGAAGGAAGATTTCATAGCCGTTAGGTGTGGATTTTTTAAGGGACTTTGAAGGAAGATTTGATACCCATAAGGCGTGGATTTTTAAGCAACTTTGAAGGAAGATTTGATAGCCGTAAGGCGTGGATTTTCTAAGGAACTTTGAAGGGAAGACTTGATAGGCACAAGGCATGGATTTTTAAGGAAATTTAAAAGAAGATTTCATAGCCGTAAGGCGTAGATTTTTTAAGCCATAAG